GTCAGGGTTCTTTGATTTTAACTCAATTGTATTTTTAAGGAGGGAAATTACTACTCAAGAATTTCAGGCTACTGCCAAGTGTGGGGCACACGCCTGTAATTCCAGGACTCTGGAGGCTGAGGCAGGAGTGACTTCTAGGCCAGACTGGACCCAAACTGAGTTCAAGGACAGCCTGAACTTCATGGTAAAAGCCTATCTCAAAAAGACAAAAAAAAATTTAAAAATAAAATAAGAATTTCAGGCTAGGGCAACCCACTTGGAACCCCTTCTGTCTGTCTGTCTGTCTGTCTCTCTCTCTCTCTCTCTCTCTCTCTCTCTCTCTCTTTCTCTCTCTCTTGAGATAGCTCAGACCCCGGAATAAAATCCAAGGAAGCAAGGAATCAAGAATTTTGGAGCAAAGGCTTTATTTTAGGCCAGGCCTGGTGACGCAGCCTCCTTAGGATTGACCCAGAGACTGCCCACCACACAGGCTGAAGAAAGGGAATTTAAAAGCAAGAGAGAGAGAGAGAGAGAGAAAACTCACAGAGCTGTTAAGCTTTGACTTAGTCCTGACAGCATCTGGAAACTATAAAGCTGTCGACTTAGTTCTGATAACATCTGGAGCTTTTGGTGCATCCTGCAGATAAACATTATCTCGGAATAGCACATCTGCAATAACATGGGGAGAGGAAAGTAGAAAGTTAGTGATCTCGGGACAGCTCATTAGCAATAACATGTGGAAGGCGGAGGAAGTTACAAGAAGCTGAAACCTAAGTTTTTACAAGAATTAGAAACTTAACCCTATCGGCGCATACAGAACAAGAGGAGGCGCATTGGTTAGAGTTAAGCCTTAACACTCTCTCTCTCTCTCTCTCTCTGTCTCTCTCTGTCTCTTCTTCTCTCTCTCTCTCTCTCTCTCTCTCTCTCTCTCTCTCTCTCTCTCACACACACAGAAGCTTTCTTTCTCTCAATAAATATTTGTGCTCCAAAAAAAGTTTCAGGCTCTACATGAACTGTGACTTCTCAAAACCTAAAAAAAAGAATGGGTTTGATAGAATTTTGCATCACAATTACTCAAGAAAAATATTTTCCCATTTGCCTTCCCTTTCCAAAAGGAGAGAAACTCTCAATTTGAACAGATTTGCACACCACGTGTGCAGCACCCAGAAGGCGAAGCAGTGTGATGTCTGTGATGGTCAGCGAAGTGTAAGGGACCCGGGCCACAGGCTATCGTTCAACCTTGAAAAGAAAGGCCGCTCTGGCACGTGCTGCACCCTGGGTGACACGGAAGGATCTCGGGCTAAGTTAAACCAGACTCCAAGGGACAAATATTCGGTTCCATTTAGATGAGATAGTCAAAGTTACAGACACAGAAACTGGGTGGCTGTCGGGGCCACGGCAAAGAGGACGGGGGAGCTGCGGTTAGTGGGGACCAACTTGGGAGGGTGAAAGTGGAGGCGGCCGGCAGTGACTGCTGTGCAGCAGTGATGTGAACGACACTGTACTCACCTTAAATGGTCGGTATGGTGGCGCACAGGGTGTGCGTATTTGCACCGCATTTTTTTAAATGGAGAAAGAAAAAGATCTCTTTTCTTAACACAATGGTCTGCATTGGGAGATACTATGATTATAAGCCTCTTAAGATGTGTTGTGAACCCCGACCCAAATCAAACACTGCTAACATTTCTATCCTGTTTTATTAGCACTGCAATGCACTAAAATAAATTCCAAAGCCCAGCTAAATAGGACCAGGCTGAGCACAGAGCTGAGTCTTACCCTACTTCATGAAAATAACCATGGTCAAGTCTGGCCAAATTATCTAGGGAAGGAATACCAGAAAATTACTATTCAAATGCTCATGGTCAGCCAGAAGTAACCTTTCCTAGTCTCAAAAATACTGATGGTCTCAAAAATACTTGATGGCCCATAATAGGCAGATATGATTAATATAAGTTATTCTTAGGAAAGGCAATAAAAATGGGAGCTTCTTCTATATTGTAAGCTCTTAAAAATTTGTATTTCTCTAAGTCTCTGTATTGTTAAGCCCCATCAACTTATTTCCAAAGCTGGTATGAATTTTTATTTATTTCAGTGATCTTCTTTAGGAGTTTTCATTTCCATCCAAAAGAGAAATCAAAGCTTTAATAATAATTACGTCCTCAATAAGCAAAAGCTCATGAGAGGCTGGAAGCATCTCTCAGCAGCAAGCAACTGCCAGCTGTTGAATGGTGGAAGCCCGTGAGGATGAGTGGAGGGTGACCCGGCGGGGGACACTGGCCTGACACACAGAAGTCCTGGCTTTGATCCCCAGCAGCACAAAGAACAAACCTAAGTCATAAAATGAGGATATTTTTTCATAGAGATTCTTCACCCTCAAGATTTTTGACTACCTTTGTGTTTCAAAAAATGCACTCCCGTGCTGCAGCCTGCAGGGCTTTCAAATTTCCCAGGGTGAAGACTTTGAAGGGCAGCACAAAGGAAGAAACAAAGACAAGACACAGAAAGTGGAGGTCCGGTGGAGCCGTCTCTCTGGACAGGAGGACAGGAACTGCTGCACCACCCCAGCATGTTTATTTATATGGTCAGCAGGCTGCTGTCACGTGGCAATCCTGTCTGGCAACCTGCCTGCACGGTAGCCTAAGGCCTTGGTGTTCCCTGGACTGGAACAGTGGTTCATGTGCCTCCCCGTGGGCACTCCTTGTTCTCAGGATGGCCTCACTCAGCTCTGCACAATGTGATCAGATCTCCAGTTTCTGCCTTGCCCCATGTCTCCCCCCTTTCTGTTTTGTAGTTGCAAGTGATGGGTGGTCAGTTGAAGTTGGAGGAACTGTGTTTAGGCATCTGCAGAAAACCTTCTTCAAGCCTTTTCATTCTGAGAGAACTTACTCTTAGCCTAAAGAGTTTCAATCCAAGGATTCTAAGCCCCTGAATTCAGCAATTTAATCCTATACAGCCCATTAGTCCATAACAGAAATCCATTACCAGTATAGCTGGAGATTGTCAGAAGGTTCGTGATTTAAGTTTCTTTTATAGCTAGCATTTTACTCTAGCATTGTTTTTTACCTCTTGTAGTTATACTTTTCTGCAGGGTATTCAAGACCAAGTTAAACTAAAATTGGTACTAATTGCAATAATCTATTACTATCTATCAGGGTCTATAATATCTATCAAGGTCAGATAAGTCTCCTCAGGAGCCTTGGAACCATGTACAGCACCTCTTTGTTCACCTGTCAGTGTCAGCCACCTGGATGAGTCACAGACATTGCTTGACTAACTTGCTTTCTGTGAAAGCTTGGGAGATCTTTTTCTCTTAGTGACTCTCCCTAGGTACACTGTACACCGTTGATCACTTTCCTCTGTGGCCCCATATTCTCTTTGGTCACAAAAGTGGTGACTTACCAAGTAATAGGACAGCACAGCATAGGTTTTATTATGTCTGGGTCCTCAATGACTTTGTAGAGCCAGGACCAAAATATTGGCTGTCATTCCTAGCCCATCTGTCTTTCTAGTTTTTGATCTCTAAACCTCACTGTTGGACATCTAGAAAAGAAGATTAATGACATTACAGTGTAATAGAGGCAGCGTCTTGGTTGCTTTTTTCTGGCTGCTGAGACAAAATATCTGACACCTAGAATTAAGGCAGGAAAGGTTTATTTAGCTCACAGTTTGTGGAGGTTTCAGTCCATAATAAACTGGCACCAAGGCTGGTGTCATGGCACAGGGTCAATGGTTCAAGGCAGCAGCCAGCAAAATCAGCATTCACATCACCTCTGTGCCCTCCTCTTGCACAGGCTAAGGATATATACAAAGTAAGGATCCTGGTTCCCTGATGAGTCCCTGAGTTAAACTTCTAAACTTCTCAAACTGACACAATGTATCACCCAAACAAGCAGTAAGCTTAATATTACTATCTTAGTTGAAATATCAAGCACCTTACAACATAAAACCATTATTCTCTAACAACCATGGAGGTTATAGTATTTAAGTCCCTGTAAAGTGTTGATTAAAAGCTACATATTTTACATAGAAAATTAGAAATTAAAAACCACGCATAACATTGCATTATGACAATCATTAAATTTTTATAACACATCTGAATTTTTATTCTGACATAAAATAGCGTTTTTAGTTAGTCATCTGTAACTAGTACATATGAAGCTTTTACCTAACTTGCTGACATTTAATGGGATGTACACCCCATAAGATTTTGTTAAAGGAAGATGTCTGAACCTGAAACAATGTTCTGTCACCTTTAACAATCCCTGTCTTACACTGGGGAAGACCTGTGCATCTGGAGGCACAAATACATTTAATACATCATGAGGTTATTGACAGTCAACTGTCAGCCATATGAAAACCTTTGTACCAGAGTTTCTTTAAATCAAAAATCTGTCTAGAAAACTTAATCTTTTGATAACATATCACAATAATATATTTTAATGACATTTATTGGGGTTACAAAATCTCTGAGGCTTCCTATTAATGAACAAGGACTGGATAACTATCCAGGCAGGTGAATACTTTATTCACCAAAGGGAGGCTTGACCAATAATTCTGCAAGCCTGAAAGGTACCCTTAGTTATCTTAACAAATTTCTAATGATCTCTGGGAAAACCTATTTTGGTATTATTTTGACCAGCTAGAAACCCAGGTTGAAGCATGTTTTTCAAACCTATAAAACAAATTAAATTTTGAACAAATGATCTAAAAGAAAAACTTGTTGAGCTCAAATGAAAAGCAGCTGTTCACAGACATGACAAACAGACAAAGAAACAAGTACACATCTTAAGAGACTGGACCGACAAACATCTTACAAAATCAGAGTGCACTGAAATAGATTTTTGACCAAATTGAATTATAACTTTTTATACTTTTAGAAGTTTGTAATTATAAATAGCCAGAATTATTTGTAGGTTGATTAGCAGAGATCTCTTATAAGAAGAATTTGGAAGGAATAAAATCTTTTGTCTATGATTAATATATAATTTTTGTATTTTATTTTGTCTTAAGAATACTGGTAATTTTCTGACTTTTTTTTTTTTTTTTTTTTTTTTTTTTTTTTTTGGTACCAGGGATCGAACTCATGACCTTGCACCTGCCAGGCAGGCCCTTATGCCATTGAGCTAAATCTCTGGCATAATAATGGTAATTTTTGTGTCCCCCTCTTTCATGTAAATTTCTCCTCAATTATCTCCATGCACTGTATTACCTATTCAGACCTTTGATTCCCACTTTTGGTTGTCATCTCCTGGGCACCCTGGGCCAGTTCCTTCAATTGTCCTGAGGTTGGATCAAGCCCCATTCTTGTCTGTCAGTTATGGTGTGGTCACCCAGCCACCACTGTCATAGTGCTGAGCATCAGTTTCTTGAAAAGTAGAATCAACTAGGTCTCCAGGTCCGGATCCATGATACAGCCAGACAGCATGCTCTGGCACCCAGACAGGCAGCTTCAGCATTCTCTGTAAAGACACAAGCATACCCTCAGAGCTCCAGGCGATTGGGAGCTGGGTCCCTTTCATTGTCCCAGTATGAAGATCTTTCCAAAGACCCTTTCCTAGCTTTTTTCCCCACCTGATTGAAATGTGTTTCTGTTCTGTAGTCCCATCATTACCAGGACATAAAAGGTTAATAGTGTTTACTGCAAATGAAGGTGTACTATCAGGTGTGACTCTTTGGTAGGCAAGGCTTCCCCTTTTTGTTTTAGTAATTTAATTTTGAGTGTACGTTGAGCACACTCAACAATTCCTTGACCATGAGGATTATAAGGAATTTTCATGGTAAGGGAAATAAGTAAAGTTTTACTAAATGTTTGGAAGTCAGCACTTGTATGGGCTGGGCCTTTGTCAGTGTTACCTGTAGAAGATCCATACCCTGTTTTCAAGATCCTGGAACTCCTGTTTGGCACCAGGGCTCCATCTCCAGTGCCCCAACCCTGGGGTTTCCCCAGCCTCTGTAGTCTTGGCTGCCATTTTTTTCTTTCTTCTTTCTTTTTTACAGAAAGTTGTTGCAGCTCCCAGGGCTCAAGCCGAGTGCAGCACGAGTATCATGGCATGCATGGTGGGCCAGCAGTCTAAAAATTCAGCGGGCCCAGTGGAATTCACGATACAGCACACAGGAGGCAGGACCTGCTGGGCTTTTGTCCCCTCCACTCACCATGATCATCATGGCCTACAGCAGCTTGTAAACATCAAGCCCTTGCACGGGGGCCACGATCTCCTCATCTACACTCTGGACAGATAATAGGAGGTTTTGTTGAAGGGACAGATAATGGCTGTGCTGCCTACACAGGTTCAGCAGGGCAATTTTAGGCAACATGTCCTTTGCTCCCACAGCTAAAACAAGTAATCTCGTTCTTTTTCCCTTTCCTCCAGGCTGTGAATGAATAACCTGAGTGATGCCAAGGTACATACAAGGGGCCAATGGCTACACAAATCGGAATCATCTCAAACAGCAGAGCCCATTTTTTGTGGGCTCTTAAAATTTCTTTACACCATTTATTTGCATTTTCAAAGTCCAGTTGTGGAGCAGTTAGCTTGCTACCCTCTGTGCTGCTTAGGATCTTCCCACAAGCCTGCAGTAAGTGTGCTACCAAATCTGGAAAAGTTCATGAGAACCCTGACAAGTGGGAGTCAAATCAAGGAATGTCTCGCCCTGCGAAGGAAGTTCCCCGTGAGCCCTTGTGGCAGATATTTTGATTTGTTCATGAGTTTGCGGTTCAAAAGTAAGTTTATTATTTGTGGCAGCACAGGCACTTCTCTGGTTAACATGTCCTTCATAATGTCTGTGTTGTGACCAGCATTGCAAGTGGCCTGATCCATGCACAAAATCAAAAGATTTCCTTCCCACAATAAATAACCCCCTGGAGTTAAACAAGCTTTCCCTATTCCTTTCCAATCATTTGGGGTCATAATCTGTTGTCCTAGGATCTCTATTAAACCCAAGGTAAAAGGGGCCATAGGGCTACGGGTAGTCCTAACTTGTTTTAGTTCTTTTAAGTTCTTAAAGGACACAGTTTCATGAAGACATGGTTTGTTCAGGTCACTGGAGACTCAAAGTAACAGGGAAGATACATTGAAAACCCTCCACAGACTCCCCCACCTATCTGGCTTCTGCGAGAGACAGACAGAAAGAGGCTCTCCTCCCCGAAAGACTGAAGTTCCGACCTGTGATGCAGCAAAATTCCTCTGAGCTGAAAAGGCAGGAATTGCTGCTTGTGGCTCAGGTAATGTTATCGGTTGTTGTGAAAAGGAATTCACAGCAAAACACTCCTCCAGCGGGGCAGGGTCCTTTTTGTCCCCCACAGTTCCTTCCTTGTCCAGCTGAGCAAAGCTAGAAGGCTGACTTACGTTCCATCAGGGAGGCTGTTGCTCCACTGTCTTTTTCCTGCTCAGGACTTGATTTTATTCATTTTTTAAAATAGTTTATTTCTTTTTTTCCAAATTCATTTTATCTCAACAAGAAATGGGAGAAAAAGAAGAAAGAAACTAAAACAAATTTCAAAACACGTCAATCAGGGAGCAACAAAAGTACGTACACTGCACATTGTCATCCCCAAATCATTCACCCAGAGCACAAGACATCTGCATTCAACTGTCCAAACAGTACCAGCACAGATCTTTCTTCAGCAAACTCAGAGAAATCACTGGTAAAACTATCTTAGTTATTTTTATATACATATACATACGCATATACAAATGTTTTCTTTCAGCTTCTCACACTAATGGAACAATATGGTGTTTACACGTGTGTCTTCTTTATTTCACTAATGAGCATGTTCTCAAGGTGCATCCATTTACCTATAACAGTTTCCAGGTTATCCTTCTTTATGGCTGAATAGTACTCCACTGTATAAAATACCACATCTTTATTATCCATTTCTCAGTCAATGGGCATTTAGGTTGTTTCCAAACCTGGCTATTACAAATTATGCTGCATGGGTGTACATATATCACTACAATATGATGTTTTTAATTCTATTGGAAAGATACCCAGAAGGGGAATATCTGGGTCAAATGGGACCTCTAGTCCTACTTTTTTGGGGAATCTCCACACTGATCTCCACAGCGGCTGCTCCAGTCTGCATTCCCACCAACAGTGGAGAAGGGTTTCTTTTCCCCCGCACCCCTCCAGCATTTGTTATTGCTTTATTGCTTGTCAGGAGCCATTCTTTCTGAGATGAGGTGGAATCTCAGTGTTGTTCTCAAATGACCAGTGATGTTGAATTTTTTTTGCATATTTACTTGCTGTTTGTATTTTTTCATCTGAGAAGTGTGTTTTCATCTAAGATATCCATTTTTGGATTGGGCCTTTAAATCTGGGAGGACTGATTTTTTTGAGTTCTTTAAACGTTCAATAGTAATCCTTTGTCTGAAGAACAGCTGGCAAACATTTTGTCCCACTTTGTGGGTTGTCTCTTCACTCTGTTGTTGGTTCCTCTTGCTGTGCAAAAGCTTTTCAGTACAGTGAGATCCCAGTTGTTGATTCTTTGTGATAGTTTCTGTGCAATCAGGGTTTGGCTTGGTACGTGGTGAAAGACGTGGGTCCAGTTTTAATCTTCAGCATGTGTAGAGCCAGTTTTCCCAGCACCATTTATTAAAGAGGCCGCCTTTCTTCCAGTGAATGTGTTTGGTGCCTTTGTCAGAGACAAGGTGGCTTAGTGTTGTTTCTGCATCTTCTAATCTGTTCCCCTGATGTTTGGGTCTGTTTTTTTGTTTTGTTTTGGTTTGGTTTTTTGCCAGTACCACACTACTTTTTATCACAGTAGCTTGATAGTATAATTTCAAGTCAGGAATTGTGTTTATGTTTTTTTGTTTTGTTTCTTGGTTCTGGGAGTTGAACTCAGGACCTTGCATTTGGCAGGAGGCACTAATGCTACTGAGCTATATCTCCAGCCCCAAGTCAGGAATTGTAACATTCCCCACCCTGTCTTTGTTGCCCAGGATTGGCTTGGCTATTCTAGGTCTCTTCTGGTTCTACATGAATTTTCAGATTGTTTTCTATAATTCTGTGAGATTATTGGAATTTTGATCAAAACTGCATGAAATCTGTACAACCATTTTGGAAGCATGACCATTTTCATTATATTGGTTTTTCCTACTCAAGAGCGATTTCTCTCCATTTTCTATTATCCTCTTCAATCTCCCTTTTCAGAGCACCGTAGTTTTCAATGTAGAAGTCTTTGAGCTCCTTTGTTAGATTGATCCCTAGGTATTTCATTCTTCATTCTGAAAGGGAACATAATTATGATAATGATCACAGGTGATTTTACACCTTACAGGTGATGTATGTATTTTTCTCCCAAAACCTGAAAACTAAGAGTGACAAATGTCAGTAATTGACGCTCTGGGTTACTTATGTATTGATAATTTAGTAAAATGACTATCTCATTCATCCAAGGAACTACACAGGAAAATCTAGAAAATTTACGAGAAAACTCAGTTGAATCCAAAGCCAGGCTAACTGGAAGAACACTAAATAATTCCAGACTCACAGACTCAAACTATCAAGGCTCTGAAGGAGTCCTAAGCCCTAGAGGCCTGGGCTCTCAAATTTTCCAGAAGGAAATGAGAGCAAGAGAAGTGGTTCTGCCCTGGAGCTCCGAGCAGCCGGGCTGGGCAGGCGGCTGGTGATGGACGAGGGGGCTCCTGGGTGCTCTCAGCGGGAAACCACACAGCAGAGGGAGGCTCCCGAAGGACAGCTGTACCCGAAAGACAATGGCCTGCGATGGGGGGCTGAAGGAAGGCAGGCCACTATCTACGGAAACTGGCAGCTATAGAAATATGTAACCAAGCTAATTTGATGGCACAAAAGAGAAATGCATGCTAAATAATGTTTTCATAATAATCACAATTTAATCAGAGAGATCAGAAATCGATCAGAAAGAGAGAGACAGAGGAGAGGGAGAGAAGCAATGAGACTAAGTTTCGTGCCTGGGCTGTAAGAAACAAAAAGTCGGCTGGGCACCTTCGTCACACAATAGTCTGACTTGAAGCAAGTTGAAAATGAGCCAGGAGCAAGGTGAGGGGTGAAGCCGCTGTTAGAGGCCTGACTAACACACCGCAGTCAGGGAAGGCCGGGTGTGGCCCCGCTGCGGATGCTTGCCTAGCACACGTGTGGCAGTGGGTTCCGCCCCGACACCATAGACACACACACACACACTCACTCACTCACTCACAGCACTAGAAGCAGTCACACAGGCAGATTACAATGGCTGAGACTGTGACAGGAGGCAAAATCTTGAAGGGAGGGAGAGGAGGAGGGCAGGGGGCCCACAAGCCTGTGTTCCTAGTGTGGGAGCCCAGGGCAGAGAAGGGTGGAGAGAGCCACAGCAGAATGGCCTGCTTCCTCAGGAGCCAGGAAAGCCATGGAGGTCCTGTGGAGCAGGCCCTGGGACAGTCAGAGGGCGCCTGGCCTGTCGGGAGGTACGGGCCCTTCTGCAGAGGGCGGGCTAGGTCCCTCCCTGAGCCAGCTGCTGGGGGCCACTGCTCCATCCTGCTGGGAAGCTCCAGAATCAGAGAGCCCAGCCTCGAGGCCTGGGTCCAGGCACATTCACCCCACAGCTGCCCACCATTCGTCAAGCTCAGTGAGGCACAGACATCATTCCCAAGCAGGAATGGCCCACAGAGCTCAAAGGCAAAGCCCAACCAAAGGCAGGTGTGTGGGACAGTGCGACCTGGGAACCTGCCAGGAAAGGAATGAAGTCAGAGGTGAGGCTGGAGGAGGGTGCACCAGCCACTGTAGCACTGGAGGGCACGGGTTAGGGAGGTGTCAGGAAGGGAAAGCGTGGGTGGTGACGCCACGCTCAGCACATCTAATCATCAGAGAACTACAGATTAAAAGCAGAGTGAGAAACCACCCCTGAGCGCTGTCGATGAGAAGGTAAATTAGTGCAGCCACTCCGGGAAAGGGTATGGAGGTCCTCCAAGCAGTCCAGCAGTGCCGCTCCTGGGTATGGAGCCACAGGCAAGGAACCAGCATCTCAAAGAGACATCTGCACCCCTGTTTACTGCACCATTACTCACAACAAGCCGGACACGAATCAATCTGCTGCCTTCCACGGGCAAACGGATAGACAGATGCGGGGCAGACGCACAGCGATCCCACCCAGCCTGAGTGGGAGAGGACATCCCCTTGATGTGAACACTTCCCATTCTCAGGGATCAGTTAAGATAAATTTTATTTCAATTTTCAAGCAATTAATTTTTAAAAGGGGAAATCCTGCCACTTGTGGCACCCTGGATGAATCGAGAACACTGTGTTAAGTGAAATAAACCAGACACAGAGAGATGGGTGACCTCACTTCTGTGTGGCCATTAAAAA